GGGAAAAAGAACTCTTGTCTATTGGAGGGGCACCCCCCCACACACACCCCAGAGTCAGACACGACTGGACTTCATGTCAGAGGAAAACCTTTAACTAGGAAAATTGTGGAAGATCCAGGGTGGGAGAAAGAACTCTTGTCTGTTGGAGGTAGGTATGAATGTTTCAATTGGCCACCTTGATTACCATTTCATAGCCTGACCGTTTTTAGGGAGAATCCTTTGTTGAGAGGTGATTAGCTGGCCCTGATTGTTTCTTGTCTGGAGTTCCCCTGTGTTTGAGTGTTATTCTTTATTTACAGTTATAATTTTAGAGTTTTTTTTAATACTGGTAGCCAGATTTTGTTCAGACTAGAAATAGGAAGATTTCCCATTCTCTGCTCCTGGAAGTACTCCCTCGAAGGGCCCTTCCACACAGCAAAATAAAATATGTGCAATGTGCATAGGAATTTTTTAATTGATTTTCTTTTTTAAAAAACTATAGTCCGGCCCTCCATCGGTCTGAGGGACAGTAAACTGGCCCCCGGTTTAAAGAGTTTGAGGACCCCTGGACTAGATGATTTTTAGTTTCCCTGCAAAATTCTTTCATCTTGTTTTTTTCAATCTTGATGCTTTTGCTTTCTGAATTGCAGCTCGCCATTCCTTGCACCCTCCAGCATGAACATGCCACCTCCCCAAATTGGAAACCGCATAATCCAACAACGAAAGGGAGACGTCGCTGTTCCTATCAATGAAGCCAAACCGACCTGACCCCATAACCCGACGGCAAAGAGAAAAGCTAGACAAACAAGGCTCAGGACCGGTAAGCCGCTCGCCTCCCTATCAACGCCTTTGGGAAGAAGAAGCAGTGAAAGCGCTTTCGGATCTGGGGACTCTTGAAGGCAGGGTGGGGCCCGGCGCAATTAAAACTTTTCAGAGGTCATTGTAAACCCAAGAGGCCCTTCCAGTTGGGTTGGTTCCTGAACTGTCATTTGGGAGAAAAGGGGGATGACAGGTATTCATCCCAGAGCCCTGGAGACACATCAAGAGGCTGAGACAAAAGAAAGAGCAATCCGCTTAAGCGGCCCAGCGATGAGATCTTAATGCCTCCTGACTCCGGGCCAGAAGGAAGAGAGACCCAAGAAGTGCCATTGGGTGAAGTGACTCAGGCGGGCACACCTCCAGCCAGGCTCCCTCACACGGAAGACGGCACATGTGGGACAGAATGGGTGCAGATGGGGAGCATGGAAAGTTTGGCCCCAAAGTTCCTCATGAGAAGGAAGCTTGGATCCAGAAGTTCCTCTCTACAAAGTCAAACTTGGATCTCCAAGTTCTTCATGTAAGCAAAGCTAGGATCCCAAAGTTCTTCATGAGGAGGAAGCTTGGATTCAGAAGTTCCTCTCCACAAAGGAAAATGTGGATCTCCCAAGTTCATCAGGCAAGGAAAGCTTGGATCACAAAGTTCCTCCATCCGAGAAAAACTAGGATTTCAAAGTTTTATGTTAGAGGAAAGCTTAGATGCAAAATTCTTCATGAGAAGAATCCAGAAGTTCATCCGCACAAAGGAAAACATGGATCTCCAAGTTCTTCAGGCAAGGAAAGCTTGGATCCCAAAGTTCTTCATGAGGAGGAAGCTTGGATTCAGAAGTTCCTCTCCACAAAGGAAAATGTGGATCTCCCAAGTTCATCAGGCAAGGAAAGCTTGGATCACAAAGTTCCTACATCCGAGGAAAGCTAGGATTTCAAATTTCTATGTTAGAGGAAATCTTAGATGCCAAAATTCTTCATGAGAAGAATCCAGAAGTTCCTCCGCACAAAGGAAAACATGGATCTCCAAGTTCTTCAGTCAAGGAAAGCTTGGACCCCAAAGTTCTTCATGAGGAGGAAGCTTGGATTCAGAAGTTCCTCTCCACAAAGGAAAATGTGGATCTCCCAAGTTCATCAGGCAAGGAAAGCTTGGATCACAAAGTTCCTCCATCCGAGAAAAACTAGGATTTCAAAGTTTTATGTTAGAGGAAAGCTTAGATGCAAAATTCTTCATGAGAAGAATCCAGAAGTTCATCCGCACAAAGGAAAACATGGATCTCCAAGTTCTTCAGGCAAGGAAAGCTTGGATCCCAAAGTTCTTCATGAGGAGGAAGCTTGGATTCAGAAGTTCCTCTCCACAAAGGAAAATGTGGATCTCCCAAGTTCATCAGGCAAGGAAAGCTTGGATCACAAAGTTCCTCCATCCGAGAAAAACTAGGATTTCAAAGTTTTATGTTAGAGGAAAGCTTAGATGCAAAATTCTTCATGAGAAGAATCCAGAAGTTCATCCGCACAAAGGAAAACATGGATCTCCAAGTTCTTCAGGCAAGGAAAGCTTGGATCCCAAAGTTCTTCATGAGGAGGAAGCTTGGATTCAGAAGTTCCTCTCCACAAAGGAAAATGTGGATCTCCCAAGTTCATCAGGCAAGGAAAGCTTGGATCACAAAGTTCCTACATCCGAGGAAAGCTAGGATTTCAAATTTCTATGTTAGAGGAAATCTTAGATGCCAAAATTCTTCATGAGAAGAATCCAGAAGTTCCTCCGCACAAAGGAAAACATGGATCTCCAAGTTCTTCAGGCAAGGAAAGCTTGGATCCCAAAGTTCTTCATGAGGAGGAAGCTTGGATTCAGAAGTTCCTCTCCACAAAGGAAAATGTGGATCTCCCAAGTTCATCAGGCAAGGAAAGCTTGGATCACAAAGTTCCTACATCCGAGGAAAGCTAGGATTTCAAATTTCTATGTTAGAGGAAATCTTAGATGCCAAAATTCTTCATGAGAAGAATCCAGAAGTTCCTCCGCACAAAGGAAAACATGGATCTCCAAGTTCTTCAAGCAAGGAAAGCTTGGATCCCAAAGTTCCTCTATCCAAAGAAAGCTAGGATTTCAAAGTTCTGTGTTCAAGGAAAGCTCGGATTTCAATGTTCCTCCATATGAGGAAGGCAAGGATTTCAAAGCTCCTCTGTGGGAGGGGAGTCTAGATCCCAAAGTCCCCCCCCCCCCCAATAAAAGGAAAACTTAGATCCCCAAGTTCTTCATATAAGGAAAACCTGAATCAAAATGAAAATTTTGGATCCCAAAGTTCTTCCAAGCAAGGAAAACTTAGATCTCCAAGTTCTCCCATGTGAAGAAAGCTAAGGTTTCCAAGTTTCTCCATAACAGGAAAATTTGGATTCGCAAGTTCTTCATGTATGGAAAACTTGGATCCCAAAATTCATCCATGCAAAGTTAAGGTTGGATTCCAAAGTTCTTCATACAGGAAATGCTTGAATCCCAAAGAAAGTTTAGATCTCTAAGTTTCTTCATACAATGAATGAAGTTTCTCCATGTGAGAAAACCTTGAATTCCAAAGTTCTCCCATGAAAAGAAAGCTTGGATTCTAACATTCCTCCATGTGAGGGAAACCTAGATCCCAAAGTTCCTCCATGTAAGAAGTGCTTGGATCCCTCCATGCAAAATAAAGCTTGAATTCCTAAGTTCCTCCATATGAAGAAATGCTTGGATCTCAAGAAGACTTGGATCTCAAATGTCCTCCATGTGAGGAAAGCTTAGACGCTTCTCTACTCCACCCCCCACACCAATCATTCTTGACTTAAGAGCTTCCTCCAAGAGTTCCCAGACCTTGGTCCTCCAGGTGTTTTGGAGTTCAGGTCCCCAGAAGTCCCATACAGCTTGACTAATGTCCAGGGAATCTGGATGCTGGAGTCCCAAACATCTAGAGGACCAACATTTGTTTTTTCCAAGTGATTCTTCTTTTCGTACAGATGTTGGATGCAACAGATGGGTTACTCATCTCAGTGGCTCTCAAACTTTAGTTTTCTAGAAGATTTGGACTGCAACACCCAAAAGTCCCCTCTGAATGAGAAAGTCCAAATTTGTATTGAAGCAGAGATATTCACATCTTCAAGTCAGAGAACATCAGCACCTATCTACTATTCCAACAAAATTCTCCAGAGCATAAAAGAATCACAGGTGGTGACCGAAAGAGAGGCACTGGCCACTGGCAACCAATCAGTTTTGGAAAAGTCCATCTCCTTTGCAAGAATTCATTACTCACCAATGACTGCTTCCTCACTTGTGTTTCCAACAGGAGTGTTCATATCCAACCCATTAAAAAAACTTGGACATATGACCTCTCTAACCAGAAACATGTTCTGGTACAGCTGTACCAGGAGCTTCAACTTTATTTGCTTTGTATTAAATGTTTGATTGCAGTCCTAGGTTTCAGGGACTCTGCAGATAGGTGGCTTCTTTTGGTTGCAGTCATAGGGCAAGTCACCTGACCATCGTTAGGTTTTGGTACTGCCCCTTGCTCAGGGCAATTGGAAAGGGAAGGGAGCCATTTTTAGTTAGTCTCAGCAAGGAAAGCTAATGTATAGGACGTGTGCAAGCTTCCCCTGTACAAAAGCTTCAACCCTCAAGATTTCCAGGGGGAAACAGTTTTAAGAGCACCCAAGACTTTCCACAGGAAAACAGCCCTAAAGACAAAAGAACCCCAGCTGGAGAACATCTAAGCCTTTACTGGTAGGTCCACTCGGTGTTCGAGACGCAGTTCGACCCGGTAGCGGAGCCCACATCAGTAAGGGTTAGATTACAGTCAGCCTGGGAGAAGTTAAAAAGGGATTTTCCTTTAAAGAAGAAGTTATTGAAGACAGTTGCCTGTCCTTCGTGGGCAAGATTAGGAAGTCACCAGTTGCCCTAAAAGCTTGGAATCATTTGTTTAACTTTCTGAAGACAAGAGAAGTTTCTGTTTGATTGTTCATTAATAAAAGACTTTGTTATACTTCACAAGCCATCTAAAGACTATTTGTGGTGAAAAACCTCTGAGAACTTCTCCTTGGGCCCCCTGGCTTCCCGCTGGGCAAAGGTTGCACGTCCTGTTCTAAAGGAAATTCTTTACAGGCCCAGCGCGCACAAAACAAAAACCTGGCACCAATTTCCCACTTTAAATATCTCTGCGTTCCCAAACCCACCAGTAAACTGGATGTGGTCCACTTACCGTCCAGGTGGCTGACTTGGCAGTGCTGGACTGTTGAAATGAGACGTCGAAGTTGTGAGGCCCGGGGTAGTCTGTGTTGGAGGGGATGGCGGGGGACGGGGAGAGGGCGTCGAAGGTGGAGCTGGGCTGCGCATAGGGCGAGGGCGCCGTGACGCTGTTCTGCGCATGCTCCGTGTTGTAGGGGCTGGTGGACGAGGAGCCGTTCTGGATCTGCTGGTCCATGCTGTTGAGCAGCCCCAGGTTGGTGTATTGTGGCTGGGAGGGAAAGAGAGAGGTGAAAGGTCATGTCAGCAGATGGACAACAAGGCATTCAGTTATTCTAAAGTCAGAGGCAGCTTGCCAGTTGATGCACATCACATTGGGTATGCATCCAACAGTCCAAACACATTTATTTATTTATTTATTTATTTATTTATTTATTTATTTATTTATTTATTTATTTATTTGGACGTTTTCTATACCGGCCTTTTCACCTCAAACAAGGGACTCAGGTCGGTTTACAACATATATGCAAATACAATAATATACAAGTACATCAGAGTGCAACATCATTACAGATTAAAATAGTACAATAAAATACAATAAAACATCATCATTACAATTACCCAGGCCAAAACGTCAATACAATCGCAGTCGTAGTCGTAGTCACAGTTCATTAAAGATTCAGTCCTCAAAAGCCACATTCCAGAGCCAGGTCTTTAGTAATTTCCTGAAAGTCAGGAGGGAGGGGGCAGATCAGATCTCTAGTGGAAGGGAGTTCCAGAGCCGGGAGCCACCACTGAGAAGGCCCTGTCTCTCGTCCCCACCAAGCGCGACTGTGAGGGTGGTGGGACCGAGAGCAGGGCCCCCCGGAAGATCTTAATAGCCTTGATGGCTCATAGGGGAGAATCCGTTCGGACAGGTAAACAGGGTCAGAGTCGTTTAGGGCTTTGTAGGTCAAAACCAGCACTTTGAATTGTGCTCGGAAAAGCTAATCAGCAGCCAGTGGAGCTGGCGTAACAGAGGGGTTGTATGCTCCCTGTACCCAGCCCCCGTTAGAAATCTGGCTGTCGAGCGTTGGACTAGATGCAGCTTTCGGGCAGTCTTCAGGGGCAGCCCCATGTAGAGAGCGTTGCAGTAATCTAAGCGGGATGTAGCCAAAGTGTGGACCACCGTGGCCAAGTCAGACATTCAAGACCTTCAGTGTCAGCAGGAAAACTCATAGAAATTACCAGGACTGTTGGATGATCAACTTAAAAAGGAAGATGGGAGAATACTGCAGTACATGCTTACAGTGGTGAGAATCCTATATACTCAACCATAGAAAACAAATCCGCAAAAGTGAAACTCACAAGTGTAGAAGGCCAACAGTACAATATATATCATTTTATACTATATTCCAGCGTTTCTCAACCTGGGCGTGTCAGAGGAGTCACCAAAGACCATCAGAAAACACAGTATTTTTCTGTTGGTTGTGGGGGTTCTGCATGGGAAGCTTGGCCCAATTTTCTCTTTGGTGGGATTCAGAATGCTCTGTGACTGTAGGTGAACTATAATACCCAGTAACTACAACTCCCACATGTCAAGCTCTATTTTCCCCAAATTCCACCACTGTTCACATTTCGGCATTTTGAGTATTTCTGCCAATATTTGGTCCGGATCCATCATTGTTTGAACCCACAGTGCTCTCTGGAGATTGGTGAACTATAACTCCCATACCCTTCCAGTATTTTCTGTAGGTCATGTGTGCCAATGTTGGTTCAATTCCATCATTGGTGGAATTCAGAATGCTCTTTGATTGTAGGCGAACTATAAATCCCAGCAACTACAACTCCCAAGTGACAAAATCAATCCCCCCAACCCCTCATGTCGGGTATTTGTGCCCAGTTTGGTCCAGTGAATGCATGTCGGATATTTACATTACAATACATAACAGTAGCCAAATTAAATTATAAAGTAGCAATAAATATAATGTTATAGTTGGGGGTCACCACAACATGAGAAACTAGATTAAGGGGTCGCAGCACTAGGAAGATTGAGAAACACTGCTATATTCCATATTTTCCCCTTTTAATATATAGTGGGTCCTCAGTATGTATGTATCTATGGATGCTCAAATCCCATCTATATAAATAAAAATGTAATGTTCGTTTGTGGGATGAACAGAACTCAAAAACCACTGGATTAATTGACACCAAATTTGGACACAATACAGGCCAACGAGTGACCATCACTCATAAAAACACTGAAAACACAGCAGAAGAGACTTTAAAAGCCAAAAAAGCAAAAAGATGCTACAGCGCATGCACAAAAACGACTCCCCTGGCAAACAACACACACAAAAGCACATCCACACTCTCTTCCGGACTATAGCTCCCAGCATCCCCTAGACCAGACCCATTAGTAGAGGAGGATGATCCAAATGCATTGCTTCAAAGCTGCAAACTTTCTTCTTCTTGGATTTATTTGAGAGCATCCCAATTCCTGCAGATTTCCAATTTCCTATTCCTAGACTGCAACTCCCAGAAACCCTCCAGATAGATAACATAGATAGTTTAGATAGAGATAGGTAGGTAGATGGATCAGGAGGACTGCTGGGAGTTAGTCCAAGAATAGGTAGATAAGGAAGAAAGGGAAAAGAGGAAGGGAAAGAAAAGGGGAAGGAAGAAGGAAGAAGGAGGAGAAAGAGAAGGAGGTAAAGGAAAAGGAAGGTGAGGAAGGAAGGAAGGAAGGAAGGAAGGAAGGTAGGAAGAAGGAAAGAAAGAAAGGAAGGAGAAGGAGGAAGGAAGAAGAAGGAAGGAAGGAAAGAAGGGGAAGGAAGGAAGAGAAAGAAGGAAGAGGAGGGAGAGAAGAGGAAGGAAAGAAAGAAGGGTAGAGAAGGAAGGAAGAAGGAGGGAAAGAAGGAGGGAAGGAGATAAAGAAAGAAAGAAAGAAAGAAAGAAAGAAAGAAAGAGAGGGAGGGAGGAAGGAAAGAAGGAAGGAAGGAAGAAAGGAAGGGGGAAAGAAAGGGAGAAAGAGGGAGGGAAGATTGGCCACAGCAACGCGTGGTGGGTACAGCTAGTTATATATAACGGGGTAGTAAAATGGTGTCCCTTATATCAAATGGCAAAAATCAAATTTTGGTTTTGGAAATGTCTTTCCAAAACCAAGAGATGGTTGAATCTTGAATGCAGAATCCATGGATCCGGAGGGCTGGATATAATATAATATAATATAATATAATATAATATAATATAATATAATATAATATAATATAATCAATGGGTTATGGGCAACTTTTCTCCCATTAGTGTGAAACTCCTTCAGATGTTTGTGGCTTCACAATTTTCAATTGTAAAAGGATTCATACACTCCCGAATCATTTTTCGTCACATTACTTTGCAGTGAGCCATGCACACTAATGATCTTGTCATGTATTTATTTAATGTTTACATTCGTATCAGCCAGAATACTAACAGGAGCGGGGTACAGGGAGCATACTACTCCTCTGTTGTGCCAGCTCCACTGGCTGCCAATTAGCTTCCGAGCACAATTCAAAGTGCTGGTGCTGACCTATAAAGCCCTAAATGACTCCGGCCCAGTTTACCTGTCCGAACGTATTCTCCCCTATGAACCATCTAGATTGCTAAGATCGCCTGGAGGGGCCCTGCTCTCGGTCCCACTGGCCTCACCAGCGCGGCTGGTGGGAACGAGGGACAGGGCCTTCTCGGTGGTGGCTCTGGAACTCTCTCCCACTGGAGATCAGAACTGCCCCTTCTATCTTGTCGTTCAGAAAACAGGTGAAAACTTGGCTATGGAAATTGGCTTTCGACGAGTGAGTCAATATTCTGTGATATGGATGGATGATGAACAATGATTTTATTGTGACGACTGACCATTGTAATTTTGACTGCATTTTGGTATTTTAATATGTTAGTTTAATATGTAATATGATGTTTTCAATAACTGTTTGTGATATTACTGTTGGAAACCGGCCCAAGTCCCTCGACAGAGGTGAGAAGACTGGTATACAAAATTGCTAAATAAATACATAATAAATAATAATATCTTAATGCATGGATATTGTTTTAATCGTACTGTGTCCTATCTAATGTTAGCCACCTTGGGTCCTGATATCGGGAGAAAGTCAGGATCAAAATGAAGTCGTTAAACAAACATGTACAAAATTCAGAATGGAAGAGAGCAGAAGCTGTGCCTTTCTTCCAAAAAATCGGGGATCTGAACAGTGATTACTGTGGACATCAGGAAATGTTCTAGATCAGATCAATCTGTATTTGGGAAGGAATGCTGTGATTACTAAAAGCCAGCATGGGTTTCACAAAAACAAGTCATGCCCAATAAACTTATCTCTCTTTTTGACAGAATGATAAACGTCTTCTTGAGTAAATCTTGCCAAGAAAACCACAGGACAGGACTTCAGGGTACACAACAGTCCGCTGGAATTGGTGCCAGGAAATCTGCTTTTTTCCCCATGGGTTCTGTGCCCCTAACCCTAGCAAATGTGGAGGGCTGACTGTATTATTCTCATTATTAGTCTTGTTGTTGTTGTATTATCGAAGGCTTTCATGGCCGGAATCACTGTGTTGTTGTAGGTTTTTTCGAGCTATATGGCCATGTTCTAAAGGCATTTTCTCCTGACGTTTCGCCTGCATCTATGGCAAGCATCCTCAGAGGTAGTGAGGTCCTCACTACCTCTGAGGATGCTTGCCATAGATGCAGGCGAAACGTCAGGAGAAAATGCCTTTAGAACATGGCCATATAGCCCGAAAAAACCTACAACAACCCACTTGTTGTTGTTGCTTCAAGAAGCCCCAAACTAGTGGCCTTCAACAAGTCCAGCGAGACATCTTAAATAATCAGAAAGAGGCAAAGCAACTTGATCCCAGGTAAGCTGGAAACCGTATCTGGCTGGTGAGTAACATAACACAGCCTTGATTGGCACACAACAACAAAATCACAACACAGGCAATGACAAATACAACAAGACGAAATCACAGTCTCACAAAAGAATGCATCAGAGTTGTTCAGAAGGTATGGAATTTTATGACACCCTCGCCACTGTATTTCATCTGCATATAATCATATTTAGGACATACAAACAAACAATGGTGAAGTGTTTCAACAAAAACCAGGTCTCAAGCACAAACCCTTTGAAAACATTCAATGTTTTTGTACCATCTATCCAAAAGAGCTGATATTAACATATTACATTTTGCAGTAGACCAGTGATTCTCAACCTTGCTAATGCCGTGACCCCTTAATGCAATTCCATATGT